CATCATAAGCATCATGATGTCATGGTCATTCTCGCCAAGAGAAGAAAAACAACAATGCATAAACGCATGGGGCTCCGCGCGGATTTTTTTGATCATCGCTGGGCCCCTCGCCCAGGCGCGCGGGGCGCGCCAAGGGCAGCGCCGGAGGCGCCGCCGAGGGGGCCCAGCGCGGATCCAAGAAATCCGCGCGGAGCGCCAACAGTTTCTGTTTAGGTCAGATGATGCTTTTCACAGCGCCGGAACTTACAAATCGACTGCCTGACGAACTGTGCACTGGGCTAGCGAGGGGCGCCGGCAAGCCGAAAGCCTCGTGCGCGAGAAATGCGCGCTCTGTCCCTGCGCAAATAAGCTGCGAACAAAAAGGAGAAGAAGAAAGAGGAGAAGAAGAGAAAGGAGCAGCGCGACTGAGCCGTAAGGGTTACGGACCAAGTGGCACCTCGCAAAAACTCGAACCCCAACTCTACAAGTAGCACAAAGTCAGATGATGTTTTTTCACCGCGCCAGAGCTTACATATGGACTGCCGGACGAACTTTACACTGGGCTAGCGAGGGGCGCCGGCCAGCCGAAAGCCTCGAGCGTGAGGAATGTGCACTCTGCCCTACCCCACCTCTTTTGCTCTGGCAGTTGTGGAGGTCAGAAGCGAGCAAAGGGCGGGTGGGTAGGGTTCAACACGCTTTGTCAAAACAGACACCGATTGGGCATTGCATTTCCCTTCCAAAATCCAACGAGGCAATCCGGCGCGACGCCAAAGCGAGCCTGCGCACTTTCACGCAAGGGAGCTGAGACCGGGAACAGCGCCAACAAATGTCGTGGCCATTCAGAAATCTAAACGGGCGGAAAAAAACAGCTGAGTTCCGCGAGCATTTGTTGTTTCATCTGAGGAACGACCCACAGTATAGAGGTGAGCGAATTCTCACTACTCACAGCGATACCTTTATTTGAGGCCAACCGACAAGCCTTGATCACAAAAAGAGATGAGAACATGTGCTGCAACCCCTTTTGCGGAGAGACCTTCCAGGCCTGGGAAATCCATGGGAAATCGCTAGACCTGCGGGGCGGTGGGCCCGAGCCCCCCGGCCGTCTAGCCCGCGAGAGGGTCTGGCACGGAGGCGCAGAATGCAGATGGCAACGCCTGCTCTGGCGGACGCCTGCCAAGAGCCTACGCCGGGGGCCTGAGAGGGCGGGGTCGCAAGAAGGTCCATCATTGATATTCCACCCTTCACAAAGGGGGCGCCACGACGGGCCAGCGCCTTTGCTGGCCCCCAAGGGCCCGCGAAGGTCTCGGCCGCCCCCCTCCTGCCTGCACCCTGAAGTCTTGACTGGGGAAATATTGAGCGGAATAGTACCTCCGCGGAGCCAATCGCTGAGGCACTTGACGGCCAGTCGGCTGAAAGCCAGGGTCTCTAGAAGGGGCCCTGTTGATCGCCTGCTGCGCCTTCCCAAACTTTGCGCAGAGTCGGACGGACCTGGAAATTATCCAGCCACTCCGCTTCTGGATATCGGAAAGGTCGCGCCTCTTCAGCACGGCGCCCCTCGAGGCCCCCCCGCGCCCGGCCTGGCGCGCGCAGAGCCGCTCGGCCCCCAGCCGACAAGGTCCGCGGCCTCCTCGAACGCCCCCCCTTCGCGAGGCGGGGATTCATCAATATCCACCGCCTGGGTGCCGACGCCCCGGCGCCCCGGCGGGCGGTGGACATGCGCATATTTCGGCCCCGGGGGCCCGAATATGTCCATATCCACCGCTGGCCGAGGCTCCGAAAACTGACCCTCCAGGCGGTGGATATGGATAAATTCCCGCCTCGGATCCTCGCGCGGGCTGGTCGACAGGCGAAACAGCGGCTCGCTCGGATCCCGCCCTTTCGCCAGCTGCGCCAGGCGGGGCGAAAGGTGCGCATCGAAGTCCTCGACGGCGACGGCGTCGTCGAAGCTCTCCGTCTTGCGAGGCCGGCCCCTCTCCTCCGGCCGCGCCGCCAGGCACGGGCGGCGGCGGCCCTAGAGGCGGGGCGCAGGGGGCACAAGGGCCCCAACATGAAGCTCCGCAGCCCCCCACGGACGGGGATGCGCATCGTGGAGCGCCAGATGACAGATGGCAGCATCCTTGCGCTTCGCGACCAGCAAGGCCCCCGATATGGCTGCGGCCCATTCCCAGGGCAACCCAACGCGAGAGGCGCCGGGGGCCGCCGCGCGGAAGCCCATCAGAGCCCCACCCCCGTCCGCGGGAGTGGGAGGGCAAGCGGTCGCGGGCCCCTGCTCCCCATGGACTTGATGGCCGCCAGGATCCGATCACCGGAGGCCGCCCCGTGGCCCTGGTAGTAGAGCGAGACGAGGTGCTCGACGGCCGCCGCGTCGACCTGCTCGCCCGTGCCGAGCTGAATCCTCTCGCGGATGGCCCACTTGGAGAAATCGCCGCGCAGCTCGCCCTGCACGAGGCTGCGACCCCGGGCTGCGCTGAGGCCTGGTCTGGGACGCCGAGCCGGCGCGGGCCCCTCGAGCAAGAGCGGCCCGGAGGTCGCGCCCCCCGCCGAGACCGCGCGCCTCGCTCAGCGGCCTTCGCGCGGTCCTCGCGGAAGCGGCGCGCCCGCAGCGCCGCCGGGTCACCCATCGCAGAGCGGAGAAGGCGCGCCACCGGCGGCGGCCCCGATCTCGATGAGCTCGCCGATGATGTAGCGACGGAAAGCACGCTCTCCGCAGGCGGGGCAGTCCGCGGCCGGCAGAGGGCCTCGCTGGTCTCCGGGCATCGCCGGGCGCAGCCTTCGTTGACGTTGGGGTCCGAGTCGGCGCTCGGAGCATCGAGCGCGGGGAACTCCTCGCTGCGAGCCAGCTGGTTACAGGTAGAGAAGCGGAAGAAGGAAAAGATATACGACCGCGGCGTGCCCGTCCACGGGCAGAGGTTTCGAACGTCCTGGAACGCGAACCAGCCCGGTTTACCTGACCCACCGCCACCTGAACTGGCAATTGTGCGCGTATGACAGTAGAGGCAGCAATGCTCCAACAGCGCCCCAGCATCCAGTAATCTCCACTATGGAGCCCATCGAGTCCCGGAGGATGAGATGGTTCTTGTTGTGATTGCCCACAGATCTCCGAATGGTCTTACAAACGATTATCCCAGAGAGGGCCTCCAACAGGATAGTGCGCCCGTTCCGAAACCGAGGGTTTGACGGCGTAGTGTGCCAGGGGAGCTTCGTGAGCAATTTTACCAGGACCTCAAGGGGCCCTCGTCTTCGCCTCCAGGAACGGGGCGGCGGGGGTGCGACGGGGAGGACAGCTTCTGCATTATCGATCACGCCTCGGGAAAGCCGAAGGGCCCCAGCCCGCGCGCCCCTCGCGCGCGGGAGTCTGCATGGAACGCCGCCGCTCATCGCACTGGCCAGCGCCGGCGATCAGCTCCTCCGGGAAACTCCCCTGGACGATCCCGTAGCCAGTCTCGGGCGAGTCGAACGCGTGGGTCGCGGGGCACCGGGGCCGTCGGATATGTACTCGTGCGAAGCGTGCCAAAGCAGACGCCCACTCGTGCCCCCGCGCCGCCGAATGCCGCGGGCGCACCTGCCGCTTGCGGCGCACCCTGACAAAGCGGGCGGTAGCCAGAGCCGAAAATGCCCAGGAAGAACTGGGCTGGAAGTTGTAGTGCCCCAGGATGCGCTCGAGCATCGCCCCGGCGACCTTCGGGCGACGCGCAAACCGGCGACCATCGGCGGCGAGGCGGCTGGCCCTCTCGGCGGTCGGCCCCACCTCGCCCGCCAGGCCGTCGATGGCGAAGCCGAGACTCTCGGCCCATGCAAAGGGAAAAGTCCCCCTCCTCGTGGGCGGTGAACCCTCGGCCCCCCTCGGCCGCGAGCTGTCGGGCCACTGCAACGCGGGGCGCGTTGGCTGGCTCGAGGGCCCGCGGCCGCGGCGCCGCTGTCGCGGCGCGGCAGAGGCGCGAGGCCGCGGGGCCCGAGCACAGGGCCAGGCTCGCGGTCCTGCAGCGCCAGGCCCGCGATGTCTGGGAGCACCCCCTTGACCGCAGAGGCGTGGGCGATCTGCGCCAAGTAGAAGATCCAGCTGCAGCCCACCGGTTGCACTCGAAGGCGGGGGCGACAGCGGCCCGCGCGGAGAAATGGCCGCGGCAGCTATCGGGCCCCCCCAGCTCGGCGACGAGCTAATCTGGGACGTCGCCCAAGCAAAAATAGCTGGAGAGCTCGTCATCGATGCCGCAGGCGTAGAAGTAATCCTCGATGTCCGAGCGGCCTACCCAGAGGCCAGCGTCGGCCACGCAGAAGACGGCGACGCGCCCTCGAACCGCGGGCGCCCAGCGAAGGAGACCTGCCGCATGGCAGTCTCGGTCTCGGAGAAACTGATAGTAAGCCTTCTTGGAATGGCGATGCTTCGGACCCATGTGAAGCCCGATGGGGCCCGCCTTCTCGCGCGCGGCGCCCCACTCTTGATCGTCGAGCAGCACGTTGGTCACGTCCTCGAGAAAATAGCGAGCCTCCGCGGGCAGCATCTCCTTGGCGGGGGCGGGCTCTGCCCCCGCGCGAGGGATGCTGACGCGGCTCCGGTCGTAGGACTGTGCCGAGATCCACTCGCCACCGCGTGTTAAGTCTGTCCCGAGGAGCGCGCGCGCGCCTCCCTCGGAGCTGAAGTCACCTTGCGGCACCTCGGCTGGTTGATTCACTGAAGCACTGAAACAAATAATTCAATGGCTTCACGCTGGGCCATGGAAGGCGAGGAACGTGAAGGCGACGCGTGGCCGTCGAGGGCGTTGAGGGCCTTGATCGTGCGATTGGCACCCCTCTTCAGAACTCGCCGCTGCACTGAGCGGCTCACGCTGTGATCTTGGAGCCGTTCGACCGCCGACAACTTGCGAAGGTGGGCGGGGTTTCTTGTCGTACTTTGCACCCGCCGCCGGAGCCCCATCGTGAGCGGCTGGGGCATAGAAGGACTTCATTGTGCCCCCGCGACGGAGGCGCCGGCGCCCGCCTCGCAGTCCTCCTACCCGCCTTTGGAGCCGCGGCGGCAAGGCTTAAGGCTTCCGCAAGCGGATCTCCTCCTTGAGCGGATTCTTGCACTCCTTCAGGACAGCGATGCGGTCGAGGGCGGCCTCGGCGACGCGCTTCTTGATGGGCGGCGCAACCAGGGCAGCTCCACGCCGTTCCCCCAGCCAATGAAACGGCCCGATTTGGTGTAATCTGGATTACTGGGGTTGTGCACGCGTGCTTGCTCCATGAGTTGCGGACGCCGCCCGAGCAGCACAAAAAACAAGGGTCATGACATTGAGGTGGTGGAGTTTGACGGCGAGGTCGAAAACCTTGGAGATCACGGAGTGTTCGTGGATGCTGCGGTCCCCCGAAGGGAAACCACAGGCCGCGAACCACGTGTGGTGGCGGGGCACCATCCCTTCAACGGTGAATCCCCGAAGTCGTGATGCTCCTGGACAGAAGCCGCCTCGCGGAAGTTCCTCCCCCCCTGCTGCGCCGTCCTCCACTCCGCTGGGATGACCCACGCGTCCGTCTCCTGGTCCCTGAGCAGCCCGATCACGCCCGTGTCCTGGCACAGTACCCCCTGCACCATCAGGAGCTCGGCGCCACGTTTGACGAGCCAGTAGTAGCACAGTCCGACCGTGACGTCACCCGGCACGTGGCTGTACTCCTTCTCGGCCTCTGGGTCGCCGTCGGCGGACGACCCGATGACCCACAGGACGGGACCTGCCGCCGGGGAGGGAGGGCCCCCCCCCCCTGCACGGCACCCGAGTCGGGGTCGAGAGCGCGCTGCTCGACCTGGGCGGCACTGATGACCCTTTGAACCAGCAGAAGAGTGGGGAGGCCCAGCCGGGCGGTCGGCGCGGAAAGAATGCGTACTGGCCGCCGCCGGCGGAGGAAGCGGTCGTACCGGATGCCGACGGTGGGGCACCCCCTCGTCGTAGTACGCGATGCCCTCCAACGGCGGGGCCGCCGGCTCCTCCGGGTAGACGCCCCCGTCTTCCGGCGAGGCGGGCAGCCCTCGCCACCGACCACACTGCGCCCCCCTTGGCGAGCGACTCCCCGTACAACCCTGCATCGCCTTCTCGGCCGCTGGCTCGAAGAGAATCCGCTCGTGCCAAAGGATCCGCTCGTGCCAAAGGGGGGATGGTGCCGGAGGCGGGTCCGGCTGGTAGCACAGGCTGACCTGGCGGCCCAGCCCGAGAACGATGGCCGCCATCGAAACGAGCTTCCGGCAGCTGGTCGCCCGACGTCCACCGCACCCGACAACGAACACAGCGCGCAAACCCCCTGCTCGAGGTGGACGCCGAACACCCCCGGGCCCCGTGAGCACGCCCACCCCGAACGCGGCCGGCACGAGGAGCTGCGCCGAGTCGACACCCGTCGGGCAGTATAGGCGGCGGTGCCGAGTGCCCTCCTGCAGGTGGAGTCCGCGGACAGTGGATCCCAGTCGGAGGCTAGCCAACCCACGCTGGCCTGCACAAGAGACAAGAGACGGGCAACTCTAATCAGCGCGACTCGAGCCGTAAGGGTTGCGGACCAATGGGCACCTCGCAAAGCCTCGAGGCCCAACTCTACAAGCAACACCATGACGTTTTTTCTTCGCTAGAGGCCGGAAACAATGGAACCTCATGACTACAAGGACCCGCTTGATTTCCAAAGATGGTGTCCAGAGGATTGCTGACAAAGCACAGCTCATTTCTGGATGGTGCCCCGTCGGCGTCTCCGCGGTCTGCTCTGGTATCCCAACAGTTTGCTGACGGTACTCTGACTTGCACATGATCGGCGATTAAGTTAGCGGGTCCGGATATGCACGACAATGCCCGCACGATCGGCAAGCAAAACACGTTGGTTATGCTACCATGTGTGTCGGAAATGGGGCGACATCGAAAGAGAACGGAAAGCCCCCCACCGGGCAGTCGGTTTCGGTTCTGGGTTCGTGTTGTGCGTGCGGGCGAGTCGAAACTGCGTGGGCGGGGCGAGAGGGAAGACCCGGCTGTGGCTAAGGTTGGTCTGGACAGAAGACCGCCTCCTGGTGGGCCGGCGTGGCTGGGGGTGTCCCGCCGTGGTGTCCCGTCGGTGTCCACGGGCGGTGGCCACGGGGTACCATTGTGGTGGGTGGCATCGCTGTTGTGCTCCGTTGGTTCCCCCACCCCGAGCCTCCTCCTGATCCGAAGGGCGGTCGTATAGGTATATGTATAGATCGAAGGGGGGGAGGAGATCGGAGTGGAAGGGAGAGCTCCAATCGGGAGAACGGTTTCGGTTTCATTGTTCGTGTCGTCCGTGCGGGCGGGGCGAAGCTGCGTGGGCGGGCGAGAAGAACAAAGGCGGCGCCGCCCAGCCAAAAAACCGCCCCCTGAAATGGGGGGCGGCGGCGGTTGGGGATAATCCCACCGTGGTGTCCCGCGGTGGCCCGTAAGGACCTGCGGTGTCCCGTGATGGTGTCCCGTGGTCCCGTGATGTCCCGCGGTGTCCCGCGTTGCCCCGCCGTGATGTTCCGATGGTGTCCTGTGGTGTCCCATCGTGTCTCGTGGTGTCCCACGGTGCCCCGCGGTGTCCCGTGGTGTCCCGTGAGGTCGATGGTAAGATCGATAACAAGATCGATAATGAGACCGATAATGTGGTCGATAGCGAGATCCATAATGAGATAGGAAGAAAGATCGACCGTGAAACTGATAGTGAGATCGATATTGAGATCGATAGTGAGATCGATTGCGAGATCGATCGTGAGATCGATAGTGACATTGATAGTTAGATCGACAGTGGGATCGATAGTGAGATCGATACTGAGGTTGCTTGTGACGTCGATTATGAGATCGACAGTGGGATCGACAGTGAGGTCGATAGTGATGGGGATAGTGGGATCAACTATGAGCTTGGTAGTGGGATCATTAGTGAGATCGATCAAGTGGGATCAGTAGTGAGATCGGCAGTGATATCGATTGAGACGTCGGTCCCCTCCCCCAAACTACCATTTTTGCACACACACACACACACTGTAGTCTATCACCGCAGTGATGTGTTATCCGAAAAAACACTTGCACATATCACCTTCAGGATCTGCTGCAAAATAATCGATTTATCTTCGGACAACATACAAATGTGTATACACGCCGCGGAAAGATACCGATAAATATCGGGCGCGCGCATGTACTGCACGCAATACCTCGACAGAGGCTTGGGATGTGTGGCATGTGCTGGATTGACAGGTCACGTGGGTTGGTTGCCAGGGGCATCGTAGTAGAAGCGCTTGGTGACCGAGCCCTTCAGCTTGGTGCCTTGCGCCCGCTTCTCTCACTGAGAGTCGTGGCCACCCCCTTCTGACGCTCGAGATTGGGGCGAAGTCTCAAACTGAAATCGAATGATACAATGCAGATGTGTATCACAAACTCGACTTCACCCCCTCCACCAGCCTTTGGAGGGAACTCCTCACGATGCTCTGAGACCTCCTCACCGACTCCACCAACGGCCCTCGAAGGCCTTCAACACAATTATAAAGTCGTGTGGCAGATTGCGTCATCTGTGAGACTTAGCGGGCTGCTTCGAAACCCTTTCCTAGAGTGGGTGCGACGCACACTTCACGAAGGAGAGTAACTAGACAAACAAAGAGGAGCATGAATCCCACTGGTCTAGGGATTTTTCTCTTCCAACCCCCTTCTTCCCCTTCGGAGAGCGGGTTCACTTACCCCTCCCCCTTACCCCCTCGCCTGGACTTGGACGGGATTTCCCGCGAGGGGATGGAGCGTCCAAGATGGCCCAAGACCCTCGAAGATGGCTCAATATAGCCCAAAACGCCTCCGGAAGGCTCCCAAGAGCGCTCCAAAACGGCTCCGGGTGGCCACGGAGCCCCCCCCAGGAGGCATGGTTGGCACGGGCCGTCAGCTCTCTCGCATCCTCAACACCATGCACGGCAATTACGGATTACGTCGTGCGGGCGGCACCTGTCTCGCACTCCAGAAACAGAAACACAGCTACATAGCCTGGCCATCGCTCGGACGTCCACTCCCTGTGTTTTTTTCCGGTTTCGTGCATGGACTTTTCGCCAAATGATCAAGGATGCTCCTCGATGGTCCTCACCGAAGGAAAAATGCACACGTCCGAGCGATGCCAAGTAACCATAAACTTCCGGCGCTCCGCGCCGATTTCTTGGATCTGCGCTAGACCCCCCTCCCCGGCGCGCGGCGGCGCTGGAGGCGCCGGCGGGGGGGGCCCGGCGCGGATCCAAACAATGCGCACGGAGCGCCAAAAAAGTCATGCTTATGGCGCTGCGGCGTTTCTCTATTCCTCGGAGACTTGGCGGCGCGCACAAAGGGACAAGGGGAGGGGGGAAGGCTTCCCTGTGGGGGAAAAAGCACCCTTGGACCTTGGAGACCCTTGCGGTTCCAGAGCGTCAGCGTCGTCGTCATCGCCTTCGTCGTTGTCGTCGTCGACGTCGTCGACATCGTCGTCGTCGACGCCGTCGTCGTCGTCGACGTCGTCGTCGACGTCGCCATCGTCGTTGCCGCCGCCGCCGCGGCCGTCGTCGTCGTCACCGTCGTCGTCGCCCTGGGGGGAAACTCTTGAGCATCCTAGAAACTCGGCGCGGCACTGCACTGCAACGTCATGCGGGCACGACACTACACACGGGCGGCAGCTTTTGAAAGGGGCCCCAGGACACACAAATAAAAACACACAAATAAAAAGATTCCCCATATTTTCCAATATTTTCTGGGTTTCTGTCTTCCCCCCCCACTTCCCATATTTTCCCATATTTTCTAGGGAATCAACGATTAATTGTGTCTGTGTGTTTCTTCCCCTCCTGAGCTTTGTCGCATTCCAAACACTGAGCACGGCACGCCACACGAGCGCGGCGCCTCGAAACAACAAGTGGAACGCTTCACGGCATTCGCTGATCAGGGAATTGCGCACGGCGAGCACCTGGTGTTGAGAGCTCCTCCTCCTCCTCCTCCGCCGGCATCTACCGCCTGCCCACAAGGCCGTTAGGCCAGCGCCTCCCCTCACTTTGTGGGTGGTCACGAGCCCGCAAAAGACAGCACTGCATCAAACTCTCCGTGGGCATTCTCTGGTATGAGGACAAGGATCCTGCTGGAAAGAGGTCCTCGACCCTCGAATTACTCCCAGGGGCCAAAATTTCACTCCGAATCATTTTGACCGCCTCGGGGTCCAGGACGGGCCCCGAGACGGGAACCTGACAGCTGTGACCCCCTACTTCATGGCACAGCACCAAAACTACGTTCCGAATATGTCCCTGTAACCCCGGAGTGTCAATCCTGGCCAATTATTCGAACTGTTCCCAAAGACCAAAAAAGAGGAGCGACCCCGAGACCCGGCGCACGGCTTCTTCACGGGCGGGGTCCCTGGGAGTGTTGACCGCCGTCCTCCCCATGATCTCACCTCGAGCCGCTTTGTTGACGTTCCTGGGAGCTGGCGAGGGGGAAAAGGGGCCGAATAGGAACAACAACTCCTGCGTGCCATCTTGTCTCGACACAGCACCCCTGACTCCGGACCCGCCGTACATCTGCCGATTCCGAAAGCAGGGCAGAAAGATCCGCCCGATATTAAAACTTCTTTGTGAGCGTGTTTTCATTCGACGTTTGATCATTGGGCGGAAAGAGTGGTGGGAGGGGGTGTTCTGGCTCCAGACCTCTGCTTAGTGCGACTGTTTGGGACCGTGCGTCCTATGGGGGAGGCTCCACCTGCTCGAGACAGGCGCCAGAAAACAGCCAAGATCTGCTCCATGGGAAGGGGGGAGGCGGGGTCGGGGGCCCTCGCCGATCGGCAAAACGAGGAAGAACAGGAACGATCGCTCTGATGTCCATGTCCGCCACGCCTTGACGGGTCTCGCGTCACCCAGGGTGCACCAGCGATCAGTAGGGGACCGCATGCGAACCCTACCCCTGCCCCCCACGATTTCTGAGAGGGGGAGATAGGGTTCACTGCGCTTGGGAGCTCCCGAACGAAGTGAACCCCACCCTCCCCCTCAGAAATCGTGGGGGGCAGGGGTAGGGTTCGCATGCGGTCCCCTAATCAGAAGTCGGACATCAACCAAGGTACGGCGGGGCCCGAGACCGAGGACGGCCGAGGTGTGCGGCCCGCGCGCCCCCCAGGGCGCGACCGCCACCACCGCAGGGCGATCACTGCTCCACGCCGCGCTGCGCCAGCACCCCCGGCGGGCAGCCGGGCGGCCACACGGCAGCGGCACCCTCGGTCGTAGCCGAGAGCATGTGTCCAGAGTGCGGGGGGAGAAGGGGAGGATCACCGTACACGTCGCCCTCGTCCTCCTCCTCGCTCCTCCTCCTCGTCGTCGTGCTCCTCCTCCGCCGCCTCCTCCTTCTCCTGCTCCTCCTCGTCGTCGCTGTCGGAACGAAGCCGAACCGAGGATCAATTCGGGCGAGGATGGATCGAGAATCTCCGAGGTCCAGCGGCTCTGCAGGATGTATTGGACGTCGCGGCCTTCTCAGAGCGTTCCGGAACGCTCTGAGAGCGTTGTGGATCGGCGGTGGACAAGCCTCCCTTTAGTACACCTCCCCTTAGTGCAAACGGCCTGGGACCGAAACCGACGGACCTGGACCCGCAAAAATGACGGCCGCGACGCCCTCTCGCGAACCGAAAAAACTGTCAATTCCTTCATCGACGTGTCAGGGGAGGAGGTCTGTCCACATTGTCGTGGTCGGCGTGTGGGGATGCGTACCTCCTTGCCGATGCCTGCAAATCTAATATATATATATATACACACATATATATATATATATATCGTTGGTTCTCCACTGATTGCCGTTCCTCACTGCACCTCCTCTGCCAATTCTTTCTGCACTCGTGCGGCCTTGATGCTTCTTCTGCCACCATTTGCGGCATGAGCGCTACAGTCCGCCCAACGTCAAACATCGCTAAAGTGCGACCGTTGCTAAAGTCCGCCTGAGGCTGAAGTTGCTAAACGCCGCCCAGCGGCAAGAAGGCTGTTGGCGCTGCTAAGGCCCGCCCAATCCGCGGAACGCTGCGGCCGCTAGTCCGCCAAGCGTCGCAAAAGGCGGCGGAAGCGGCGGCGGAGGTTTGCGGCCCGCGCGCCCCCCCGAGGGCGCGCCCGACTCCCGGAAGACGCAGCCGTACCGCGCGATAAAGGCCTCCCGTGGCGGGGCGGGCGCGCAGTGGGCGGGGTGCCGCCGCGCCGTCGGCGTCGCCGCCGCCGCCGCCGTCGTCGTCGTCGTTGTCGTCGTCGTCGTCGTCGTCAACGTCGCCGCCGTCGTCGTCTTTGCCGTCGTCGTATTCGCCGTCGCCGTCGCCGTCGCCGTCGCCGTCGCCGTCGCCGTCGCCGTCGCCGCCGTCGTCGTCGTCGTGGTCGTCGTCGTCATCGTCGCCGTCGTCGTCGCCGTCGCCGTCGCCATCGTCGGCGTCGCGGTCGTCGTCGTCGTCGCCGTCGTCGTCGTTGTCGTCTTTGTCGTCGTCGTCATCGTCGTCGCCGTCGCCGTCGCCGTCGCCTTCGCCTCACGACATCCTCGCCCGGAACAGACGTGCATAAAACACGTCGAATTGGAGCCACAGGGTGAAGGCAATCTATAACAACACGCGTAAAACACCGAGGGCTCGTGCCCCAGGGGAGGTCCAATATGTAGGAACATACGTACCACACTTAGAAATGGATTGACAGGAGAAAGACAATATATAGAAACATACGTAACACACCAAGGATTCGTGCTCCAGGTGAGGCCCACTCTTTAGGAGCTGACGTACAACACATGGGATCGAAGCCACCCCTGTGGCCTTCTGAGGCCTCCTGCTCCTGTGGCCTTCTGGTGCCTCCTGGCGCTTCCTGAGGCCTCCTCAAGATTCCTGGGGCCTGGAGCCTCTTGGGGCACCCTGTGGCCTCTTGAGCCTTCCTGTGGCTTGACGATACCACCTGGGACCTCCTGTTGCCTCCTGGGGCCGCCTGGAGCCTGCTGGAGCCTCCTATTGCCTCCTGGGGAGGATCTGTTCCCACGAATCTGGCCACCAGAACAAGCGAACCGATCGAACCGTCCTCAATCAACAGATGGACCCCTCCTTGGAGGCGAAACTCTGCACCTCGCTTGAGGCATCCTCAAACTCTGCTCCGAAAGCGGAGGATGTTGCGCATGCAAACAAGCAAACCGCGCGAACGGAAGAGTGAGATACCCCCTGGCAACTCCCCCTTGGGGGTGCTGAAACCCGCGCCTCGCTCGAAACATCCTCAGAACTTGCTCCGGCATCATCTCATCATCATTTTCATCACCAGCAGCGGCAGGATCAACATCATCATCATCATCATCATCATCATCATCATCATCATCATCATCATCATCATCATCATCATCATCCTCATCATCATCATACTCAGCAGCAGCATCATCAGCAGCAGCAGCAGCGGCGACAGCATCATCATCAGCACCATCATCATCATCATCATCATCAGCATAATCATCGTCATCATCATCATCATCATCAGCATCATCATCGTCATCATCAGCATCATCATAAGCAGCATCATGATCAGCATCATCATCATCACCACCATCACCATCACCACAGTATATCATAACATGCCATAGCGCCATAACATACAACAATCCCATCATGTGAACATGCATCGGCATCATCATCGTCTAAGATAAACAAGCCATGCCATACCATATAATAGTATATTATAGCATTACATACCATAACGTTGCATACCATACGCTAACACACAACAGCAACACATACCATACGATAAAGTGAACTTACATACCATACAATAACCCAACACACTAACATAGCATACCGCACCATACCATACCATGATAAGTTATACCATCACATAACACAGTATGTCATAACATAATTTAGCATATATATTTATATACACAAGATAAAATACCGTCCAATAACAATACATGAGGAGGAAGGAGTGGGAATTGGCGCGGTCGGAGTAATAACAAGAACCCCATCCTCAGGATATCGGAAATAACAATGTGGGATAGCAATAATCCCATCCTCTGGGCATGGGGAATAGCATGACAGACCATAACATCACATGAGCTGGAGGAAGGATGTGTGTGTGAGGGAGTTGGCGCGGTCGGAGTAATAATATGAATCCCATCCTTTGGATGTGGGAAATCATACAAGTATCGAAACAGTGTCGAACAGGCATCGCCTCCCAGGGCCCGACACGCGAACACCCTCCAGTTTCGGTACCTTCTTGGTGCTCGAAGCTCTGTCTCGCGATGACTACAATAGGTTGGAACATCATAGTTTAGGGCGCCTGCTCTCCCTTGCCTTTTCCCCTGCCGCGAGGTGGCCCGCTAGCGCCGCGCCCCGGCTCGCCTCAAAGGCGCGCGCGCGCGCGCCACGACGGGCACGCCTCACGGGCTCCCGGGCCTCGCGCGCGGCCCGCCGGCGGGCTGCAGCGCGCGCCCGACCAGGGACACGAAGACGCGCTGCCGCTGCTGGGAGCTGGCCGGCCACGCGCACGAGTGGGCCACAGTTAAGTCGTGCCTTTTTCCCCTACAGGGGGATTTTCGACGAAGACTAGAAAAATAAAAAATACTCCAAAAATGCCCCAGAAAGGTCAAAAAATATTCAAAAAATAGTCCCCAAACCATTTTTTGATTATTTTGGGGAATTTTTTATTTTTCGTCGAAAATCCCCCTGTAGGGGGACACGCCCGACATAAGGCCAAGGGTGCCGGGGGGTCGGTGCCCCTGGCCTCTTTGGAAGTCCTCCTCGGAAATCCCTGGAGATCCTCCTGGAGGCCGTGGGGGCCCCAACATGTCGCTCCATGCTGGGGCCCCCCCCGCGCCCTCTGGGCCTCGTGAGGGGTGCCCCCGGTGAGGGGAGCCGGGGCGGGCGGCGAAAGGAAACGGGTCTCACGCGAGACGGCATCGATCCCGCGCGGTGGCGCTTGCGCGGGCCGCTGGCGCCGCACGCCACGTTGGAAGTATTCGGGGGTTGCTACAGGTGGCCCTGGCCTACGAGGTACCCCCCAAGGTGTCGTTCGATGTTGGGGCTGCCGGGGCCCTCTGGGCTTCGTGAGGGGTGCTCGGGAGGCCGTGGGGACCTCCCTGGAAATCCTAAAAAGCACCTTCAGCCAGGGGCACTTCTAGCAACACCCGAGTGGTTGGCTGGTGAGGATTCATTGTCATGTCGCGCGCAGAGAGAGCGCCCCCTCGGTAGTCCCGGCTGGCGCCGCCTCTGGCAGCGCCACTTGGCCGCTGAGCGCCCAAAGACCGGGGTGTCGAGACCGCCTCAAACTACTCGGGGGAACTGTTGAGACCAACTGGGAATTTTCGGGAGGTGTGCTGAGGCCACCTGGGGGTACCTTGAGGGGTTTGGCCTGCGCGCGACCCGAAAACCTAGCCAGCATTGGCGGCGACTCTGGGGGGGGGGATGAGCGGGGGCTGGCCTTCTCAGAAGGCGGCGGGGCTCTTCAGAAGCCCTCCGCCTTTCTGAGAACCCACGTCGGTCTCTGGAGAGGGCTTGGACAACTTCTCAGACGGCTGGAAGCCGCCCGAGCCTTCTGCGCCCAAACAGTGCGGGGCCCCCATTGAAGTCCCCACCTTTTGCCCAGGGCAGGTTGTCCAGCCTGGATCGCTTGTTGACGGCCGCGGGGCGCCGCGAACGCCCCCAGAGGACGAAAGCGAATAACGAAAAACTCCCCGATGCGATGTTGGTCACGACGCGGGCATGTATGGGAGAGAAATCGGGTCGGGCGAAAGGGGGGGAGAGCAAAGGGGGGGGGGGTGAGAATCAGATCACGAAGCTGATTTTCCCGGCGCCTCCCGGCGCCGGAGGCGACTATGTATCGAGGAATGGGCCCCTCGGTGGGGCCGAAACCAGCTGCATGCAGCAAATGTTGTAACCCCCCCTTTCCCAATAATCCCCCCCGATATCCCCCCGAGCACACCCCGATTAACCACGACCGCTGGTGCGCGGCTCGCCGATCGTGGCGCGCGGTCCGACAGGGAGGCGGCCTGCGCGCCTGGTCTCGCCCCCCCCCCCCCGCGCTTCCCCCCTCCTCCTCCTCCTCCTCCTCCTCCTCTTCCTCCTCCTCCTCCTCCTCCTCCTCCTCGTCCTCCTCCTCCTCCTCCTTCTCCTCCTCCTCCTCCTCCTCGTCCTCCTCCTCCTCGTCCTCCTCCTCCTCCTCCTCCTCCTCCTCCTCCCCCAGTCTGTCTGCTCCCCCCACGTTTACGTCCAACGTTCCACTTCAAAACCTCCTAGGTATGAGGGGTCCGAGCAGATGGGGTCGGAGGATGGCGCCGCATCGCCGATGCATCGGCCATGCGTCGGCGACTTCGATCGGCGGTGCGCCGGCGACGTCGGCGACGTCGGCGTGGAGAACATAGATCCCACATCGAGCCGCGTCGCCGATGCATTGCCGAGGCGGCGCGACCTTCAAAGCCCATGTGGCATGGACCATAAAGAAAATCATACCACCCCACCTACGGCACCATGGGGCGCATGATGGCGTAGGCACTTGCGTAGCATAGCTATTGGGAAAAAGGGCTAAACTGCCGGCAAAGCGTCCCTCCGGCAAACCGTGCCCATTAACCACTGTTCGGGGAAGGCGCTCCCAATTTTTTGGGGTGTTATTCTGCGCGATGTTCTGCGCGCGCCGCTCCATCGATCTACTCATTCACGGTCGCCTGGCGCACGGGAGGACTTCGCCAGCTCACGCGAATCCTTTGCGGGGCTCCAGGAAACGCGGAAACAACTAAACATGTCCTCTGGAACGCGCGTACCAATTTGCAAACGCTGGTGCACGCGCGCGTTTCGCGCCTCTCGGGCAGCTTACAATGTGCACACGCGAATTAATTGCGTCGACGCATTGCGACACCCGGGCAAACCCCACGCGCAATTGGGCAAACGCGCGCGCGCCAGGCCTCATGCACTTCGCGCGTGAAAGGGCGATACCGACACTACATTGGGAAAGAACTCGATACATCGACGAAGCGCCGATCCGCAGCTGCAGAATCGGCCCCGCGAGCGCGCAATAGTGGGGGCCCATTCGCAAGCGTGATTGCTGTCGGCATTTTTGCGCGCTGGGGCTTCTTCCACGTCGGGGACGAAAAGTAAGGCCAGAGGGAGTGAGGGCGAGCAGACATGAGGAGGGGCATGGAAGGGGGGGTGGGCGAGGAGCAGACTGGGATGTGCACCAGGAAGGGGAGGGGGAGGGCGGCTTCGAATGGGGGGGACGGGAAGGGCGACGTGGCACGAACGGAATGGGCATGGAAAGAATGCTGGGTACGCTGCCCAGCAGCAGTTCTTATTCATTTTGAACAGGACTCGCTGTCGGTGTCGCCGCGGCCTGTGTCCATTTGAGACAGAAGGCCGCCTGCCCAACAGCGACCGCTGTTTGTTCAAGACAACATTTAATGTTGGGCGTTGCGCCCATATTTCCCGCACCCATTTCGGGCGTCCAAAGACTGCTCGTCGGGGCCTGTGGTTCGCGGAAGAAGGCGTCGGACATTCGTCTCACGCGCCTGCTCGCCATGGCGGCGTCGCCGGCCACGCGCCAGTTTCGTCGAGCACCTGGGGTCGCCGAGAAGGCCCTGTGGCAGAGCTGGATTTGGCGCGAAGGGCGCAGTCGCGGGGCGGAACTGCTCCTGGTTCCCAGAAAGAAATACAGGCGGCACCAAGCCCTGGTCCCGCGACCCCTTGCCCTGGCCCAAGGGGCCCAACTCCTGGCCCCGCGGCCCAAGGACATGCCCCCGCGGCTCCAGGCCCTGGCCCCGCGGCCCCAAGTCCTGCGCCCGCGGCCCAGGCCCTGGCTCCAGGAGGCCCAGCCACGGTCTGTTTCCCTGGGGCCCAAACCCTGGTACCCCCTCGCGTCCCGGAGATGTGTTCCGCGAGTCGCAGAACACTGTTCCGCGAGAGGCCCCGGCGCCTGGTTCCAGGGGCGCGGCTTGCTGGTTTGTTCGCCGCCCAGGAAAGCAGGTCCGAAAAAGGCGCAGTTCGCTGGCCACTTGGCGCCCCACGCGCGGGGCAAGCGGGGGCGGAATGGCGTTCGAGGGGTGCGATTTGCTCGCTGGTTCGCCGCCCAGCAGAGCGCTATTCCAGGGGCGCGGTTCGCTGGCTTGCTCGCCGCCCAAAGTCACGGGTGCGCTTCGCCGCTTACTCGGCGCCCAAAAATCTCGCCCGGAAGAGCGTTCCGCTTGATGCGGGACGCTGTTCGCCCCCAAACGGACCAGCGTTCCGACTGAAGGGGGCTCCCAACCATGGCCCCGCGGCCCCAGATCTTGGCCCCACGGCGCCTGGCCATAGCATGCGCCCACCCCCTGGTTTCGCGGCTCGCGGGGGGGGGCCCAAAACCAGAGCGGGGAAGAGTATGAAGAGGAGGCTGAAGGGGGTGGGAGATAGACAAGGAGTTGGACGACGAGGGGGGCTCCACGGACGAGGAGAAAGAGAAAACCCACACAAGCGCCATCGGGGGCGCTCAAAAATTCGCGTCGGTCTGAGGGAGGCAAATGGCGGCCACCATGACCTTCTCGCCGCTTACTTGCGTCCCATCGAGGGCCAGGCTCCAGTGCTCCGCCCCCTCGGCGGCGTTCCTGAGTAATCACGCCGCCAACAGTCGTAGGCACAGATGCTCGGACAAATGGTTAACCCAAGGTGCCCGAACATATTGTAAACTGAAGAGCTGAGCGGATCCCCGAAAAAAAGGTGAACTACGGATACCCGAAGACACGGTAAACTCAAAACCCCAAGTTTCGGAACAGATCCCCAAAATAATGGCTCACTATAAATGCCCGAAACAGCGTTCACCCAAGATAGCAAAGAAATGGTTCACATCTGATCCTAATGGTTCGGAGGAGGAGGAGGAGGAGAAAAAGGAAGCAAAAAGGTAGAGGGAGGAAGGGTGGGTGCCCCCCATCCCCCTCCCCCTACCCTCCCTCTGTCCAACAATTTCTGTTTCGCTCTGCTGATGCCGCTAACCGCACGCAGCTGCGAGCAACGCAAAATTTGGCCTCCTCCTCATGAGCATCGCGCCGCAAACATCATGGAACCCGGGGCATCGCGGATGAAGGGCTTCCGTGGAGCTCCCTGTGGTTGGGGGCGCGCAACGTGTGAACCGTGCGCCAGAATGGACCCGAGTCCGCACGCGGGCCCTTATGGGGCTACGAAAAATCTGAGGTGTGTGACAAAGTAGACACAGCTCCGCATCCGAGCGCTGCCACTGGAATTTTCAATGGAGCCACCTACGGGGCCACGATGGTCGGGTATCCCGCGTGGCACCCACTCTAGCTGCGTGCCCGTGTACCCGTATCGCAGACGACTGAAGCTGAAATCGGATGATATGAAGGACAAAAGTCAGTCGCTCTACATGTGATTTCTCCATGGGCGTCACCCACTCATGGGTACGCTCTGCTGGTCTACATTTGGTGGGTACGTGTTGCTTGTCACTTAGAGCTTCCCTAAATTACGCTTCCACATTGGAGGGCCGTCGGTGGGGTGGTGTGATTTGTTTGTTGGTCAAAGCTTGTTCGATGCGTAGATCCCCAGAGGTCTGGACCACGTCGCTAGGTTAGGAGGCAACTCCTCAGAGGTCTTTGCTGGAATGAGTAAGATCGATTTACCCGATGATAGAAGACCACTTCACCAAATCAAGCCAGATTAATTCCGGGATCAGGCCGGATAAAGCCAAATGAAGCGGGATCGAGCAAGATTAAGCCAGATCAGCCCCGCTAAAGCCAGTTATCGGCAGTGAAAATGCCAGCGCCGATACAACATTCAACCTCCCAGGAGTTGCACCCCCGGCTGTAGGGCCGCTTGTTCATCTCATCCTGGGTCGTTCGCTGACGGTCCCAGGGCGTGTTGAGGGCCCCCGGAGGCCAAACACCAACCGCTCCGATGTTTCTGGAGCTCGGAGGCCTAGAAATGGGCACCAATACCAACACAGGGGGTTGCCTCCACAGGGGGGAGGATGATCCTAGACGTCTGTGCTTGTGGTAATGTTTCGGTCGCCTTGGCAGCCAGAATCGGGATCTTCTTCCCTCGGTGGAGGCACACCGCCGATGTTGGTGTTAGTGTCAACCTCTGGGCCTGTGAGGAGCCTCGGATCTCTCGCTGGAGGTCACTCCCGCAGCAGGTCACACTCTTGCACGTGGCCGAGCTGGGGCTCGCTGGCGAGCACTGGCTGGCCTGGAAGGGACAGCAAAAGCGGCCAAGCCAGCATCGAGGACACGCCCTGGACGATGTCCAGGCAGTGCCAATCGCCAATCGTCACTCCTCCTCCTCCTCCTCCTCCTCCTCCTCCTCCTCGTCCTCCTCCTCCTCCTCCTCCCACCGAAACTGAACCAGCTCAGTTCTGCTTGTGGTCGATGCGGGCGCCCCAGGCGGCCAAATCGACCACAACCAGCGCAGGCATGCCTAGGTCGGCGGGGCTCCCCCCTGGGCCCTCCCGAGAAGCCCGCTCGGCTGGGGCTGTGTGGCATGCCAGTGTGCCGGGAGCTGGCCGCGCCGGGGCTGGCGCTGGAGCTGCGCAGAGGAAGCAAGAATGCACAAGCATAACCTTTTGGATCTCCGCGCGGACTTCTTCGCAGGGACCCCAGGGCCGCAAAATAGATGACACAGATAACAGGATGCTCCATATGTTCCTGCATCTTCTTGGTTTCCGGCTTCCCCCCACTTCCCATATTTTCCAATGTTTTCTTGGGAGTCGACGATTTATTGTGTCTGTGTGTTTCTTTCCCTCCTTCTTCTTGGACGGGCGAAGGCTTCCCCCTCCCTGGCGCGCGACGCGCGCCAGGGGCGCCGCCTGAAGCGCCGCCAGGGCGGCCTCGTGCCGATCCACGACGTCGGCGCGGAGCCCGAAAAGCTTCTGCTCGAGTCGTCGGCTCTTCTCCGACCGTGGGGGACGTCAGCGATGCCTCGGCGATGCGTCGGTGACGGCAGCCATGCATCTTCGCCGTCGGCGTGGAGAAAATCGGGCTCCACATCGAGCCGCACCGGCGATGCATCGGCGACGCGGCGCGAGCCTCCGACCACATCTGCTCGAACCCCCATCTGGGAGGCCTAGCTTTGTTTTCCGTCGGGCATGCCTTCCTACAGGCGGATGTTCGAGGAAAAACGGAAAAATGCCCCAAACAATTTCAAACATGATTCAAAATGGTGGCAAAAATCGTCCCCTGAATATTTCTGCCTATTCTTGAACACAGTCGGACTGCTGAAATAAGGGACGCTGTATAAGGACCGGAGCCCCCCTGTGGCTTCAACAAAGCCCGGGTGCACGAGAAGGGCCAGAGGCACAACCACGGAAATCCGCAAGGCACATCGAGCCCCTTCCGAATCCAACCTGTTCCTTATTTCAGCGTCTTGGCTGTACTTGCGTCGCCATCAGGGTTCTCTGGATGTTACTGGTACGATTTTCACGGACGGTGCGGTCAAGAGCCTGGCCTTGTGGCCCGAATCCGCCAGAGCGGGGTGGAGATCTGCTGTCTTGTCTGGCCCCCGTCTCATGGGACAGGCCGTCGGCCCCTTGCCAGGCCATCGACAGAGTGTCGCGAGGGCCGAACTGTTCGCGATTTTGAAGGTTCTCCAAGTCGGGCGCTTCCCTCTTCTGATTAAGCCGGACCACTTGCCAGCGATCGATGCCATCAACCTGAGAGGTCGGGAATGGTGCCTCGATCCCGCTCGTCAGAATCGCAGTATTTGGCGTCAGATCTGGCACGCCATCGGTGATCACGGTGGCGTGGGGCACGACGGTTTGACCTTCGAGTGGGTTTGTAGCACATCAGACAGAGTGGTCTCTGGACAGGGTCGGCAACGACTCCTCCTGCAGAGGGACATGCCCGCCTTAAGCCTACCTTGTGGTGCCCGGGGCTGGCCGCGCCCGGGCTGACGCTGGAGCCGCGGGCGTCGGCCGCCGGTGGGCTCCCCCTGGCGGCGGCGACGACGACGAGGACGACGAGGACGAGGAGGACGACGACGACGAGGACGAGGACGAGGACGAGGACAACGGCGACGAGGACGGCGAAGACGACGACGACGCCCACGGCGACGTCGACGAACGACGACGACGACGACAACAGAGAGGAGGAGGAGGACGACGACGACGACGAGAACGAGGTCGAGGTCGAGGTCGAGGACGACGACGACGACGACGACGACGACGACGACGACGACGACGACGACGGCGACGACGACGACGACGACGACGACGAGCCGCGCGGCGGCAGCGCCACCTTAGACCGGCGAGCCACGCGGCGGGGCTCAGGAGAGAGGGCGCGCTGCTCGGAGCGCCCGGGCTGGCGGCGGCGGCGCGGGTGGCAGCGCCCGAGGGGCTCAGCGGCGTGGCCAGGGAGAACTCCTGATAGGATTCGGTCGGGCATGTCCCCTACAGGGGGATTTGGGACGAAAAGCAAAAAACCCTAGCAAATGACTCAAATGGAAAAAACGTCCCCCGATGATTTTTTAACTATCTTTGAATATCCCTCTTATAGAGGGGCACGCCCGATCTAACACACCAGGAGGAGCAATGCGGGGTGTGGGGGCTGGCGCAGGAGATAGAAGCAAGGAAAAGCTCTGGGATGCGGTCCTTTCAGAAGAACATAACGTCCATGTTGGGTGTAGTGCCGGGTTGGGTGCTGTTTCTTTTTGGTTTGGGAAGGTCCACGATTGTGCATTGCCGTCGGCGGCGCCCTATGCGCTAGGGGTGCGTTGCAAGCCAACGCGGGCGCGACTTGCCCCCCGACGCCGCAACTGGACCCAGGGAGTGTTCGCATGCGCCCGCCGCACCTAATTCGGCACACCCCTCACACATTTCGCCCCTCATGCGGAGCTCCATTGAAGGCCCCATGAGTTGGGCATGCGCGCGCCCACCGCACCTATGTCGGCACACCCCTCACGCACGTCGCGGCCCCATAGGGAGCTCCACCGAAGGCCCCAATGACTACTTTCGCACGCGCCCACCGCGCCCGTGTCGGCACACCCCCTACACTTTGCATTGCCCCAATGGGAAATCGACCCCGTGCGTCCAACCTGCTGCGCTGCACTTGTATCTGCAAATTGTCGGGCCCTTCGCAAGGGCAGCGCGTGTTTTGGTTCAGCCCCCCGCCCTGTCCCCATCAGAGGAGGGGGATGTACGGGGGCCGAGGAGAAGAAGGGGGAGGAGAAGGGCCAGGGGGAGGATGAGGATGTGCACGTGGACGAGTGGGGATCAGGCGAGGGAGGGAGGGGGCGGGGAGGATGAGGAAGATGAGGAGAAGGGAGAGGGGTGCGAGGAGGAAAACAAATCGGAGGAGGGAGGGAGGGGGGAGGTGGACTGACTTGGCGGTGGGGGTTGACTGGCGTGTTGTTGCAAATTTGGCGCTGAGTTGCCTGGTGGTGCCAGTCCCACAAGAGTCCGCGCCGCCAGGCTCGCCGGCGCCATGCCCCTCCTGGTCCAAGAAACTGACTTGGGAGCTGCTCGCCCTGGGTATAAAGACGAACCCCCCTTGAGCCCGTCCACTCTCGTCGACCCCCATTGGGGGGCGGTTGGCCTGCAGCTGGGCAGGGTAGGACTGCGCGCTCTTCCACCATCGTGCCGATTCCCTATCCAATCTTCACGAAGCCCCCGAGCGCGACCCGCAAACAAGTTCGAGCGCCGCAGGCGTCGGCATGGATCGCCTCGCACGCCCCCGAGGCGTAGCTCGTGTGGGCGAGGGGGAGGGCGGGACGACCGTCGATCCATGAGAGAGCGCATCGGCCCTGGCCGACGCAGGAAATGGGCAGCAACTGCGCGCCGTTGCGATGCGCCGAGAAACTGGTGAGGCACTGATCAGCGAGGGCACGCAGACAGCACATAAGAATGATCGACCAGCGATCGGTTTGGAGAGAGCCTGAGGGAAAGAAGGGCATGGGCGGCGGCGGAAGGAGGAGGGGCGAGCACGAACGAAGAAGGAAGGTGCGAAAAGCGAGGCAGGGAAGAGGGAGGCAGACGCGGGGGTAGGGGGAGAGGCGGGGCTGAGGACGCAGAAAGTTGCGCGACCGAGGGCCGAAGACGGACGACCACCCAGACCAACCAGACAAGCCATGCCAATCGGACGTTGCAAACGCGTCGGGCAGTGCAGACCAGCCAGACCAGCTAAGCCACGCGCGCCAAGCATACCAGCCAAGCCAACCAGAACAGCCAGACCAGCCAGGTCAAACATCCGGACCAACCAGCCCAACCAAACCAGCCAGACCAACCTCGCCAACCAGATCCGCCAGACCAACCTGGCCAACCTGACCAGCCACACCAGCCAGACCAACCAGACCTACCAGACCGGCCATGCCAAGAATACAAGCAAACCATTCGGCAAGTCAGACGAGTCAGGCCGCCCAGGCCAGACTATTAGGCAGATCATCCAGATGACAAGGGCGCTGGTGAACAGCAGAGGAGGGGGGGGGGCGTACGAGGAGCAGGGGGTGAGCCGCAAAAGAAAGGCGAATGATGATGAAGAGAATGGTGAACCTGATTCGGAGGAGCTGCATGCGATGAATGGTGCGATGGCGTTTTGACGATGATGTTCTGTTGCAGCAGGCATCGCGCTGAGGCCTCGGAGGCAGCGTGAGTGCGCGCGCAAGTATGCGCCAGTGCCCATCTAGAGATACAGCCTCAGGAGTGGCGCCAGATATCGTGGCAAAATTCCTAGCAGTCGATTGCAGCAGAGGCGGCAAATCCAGGAACGGCGCAGCGGACTGATAGGCAGCCGACGGCGCTCTGACACGCGGAGTGTTGGGCGCCCTAGAAGAGCGATGAGCAATAGTGGCGACGGGCGTGGCCCCGGCGCCTCGTCGGGCGCGACTCCGGCGGGCAGCGGCGGAGGGGCGCCATCGAAATCCGCGGGCGGGTCAGCAGCGGGCGGCGGGTCCGCGGGCGGGGCCGGCGGCGCTGTCGCTACCGCCGCCGCAGGGGCCGCAACGCCTGGCACCGCTGCGCTGGCCGCCGAGCCAGCGGAAGGCGGCGCGGTCGACCCAGGAATGAACCACTGGAACCTGGGCGCGGCGTCGGGGCACTCGAAGCCCGCGTCGGTCCGAGCGAGGCCGCGGTTCGGCATCTCGCGGGCGAGACACTTGAACAGGTTCTGGGTCGAGCCAGACTCCTCGCGAAACAGCGTGGCGCCGGCCAGGAGGTGGTTGTCTTTGATGGCGAGGTCGGGTTTGTCAGCCATGAACTCGCCGGAGCACCCTAAATTGATGCGCGTTTCGCCCATGGGCTCGGGAACTTTCACCCAAGTCAGGTCGTCCTCCACGAGCACGAAGAAACCCAAGTTCTTGTAGTTCGCGAAGGTCATGCCATGCAAGAGGCTGCCCATCGCGCGGTAACGCGCCATGGGCACGACCATGAGCGGACCCTCGCACCCCGTGCAGTCGTAATCTGTCGGGACAGGGGCGGCGTCCAAGACGTTCAGCGCGTACTTTTGTTGAGGTTGGTTGTTTCCTTGCCGGACATAGCCGTGCATGCTGCAGTGGGCACCGTCGTCAGGCTAAACATCGCCCTCGCAGTCGACCTCCACCAACTTGCAGAACAGCTCTTTCCATCAGCGGGGGGAGACATGCTTCGTATTCTTGGCGCGGCCGCCCAGCTTCAGCCCTAACGCCTGGGACAAGGCACCAGACTTGCGCCTCTCGAGAGCCTTGGTGATCTCGCCGTCGCGGACCATGCCTGCAATAACGGGGCAGATCTGCGGTGCCTCGTCGGTGGTGAGGGGCAAGAGGGGGAATCGACTCCTCTCGTGACGCAAACGGCCGCCTTCCCTTCGGTTGCAAACGATGGGCCAAACCAGATGTTGTGCCCTCAGTCCCGAACGCTGCGCAGTACCACCCCCCCTGCTGGGCAGCGGGCCGCGCGCTTCCCATGGTGAAAAACAGGACGCGGAGGAGGGCATCGACGACGACGTGGACAAGAGTGAGGATGATAAGAATAGGAATACACGAGAAGAGCACGATAACTATGATAGAAGAAAAGGGTGGAGGGGCGGAGGAAAGGGAAAACTGACGGCAGCCTGGGATGGCGGGGACGACGAGGGGGTAGGGGAGTGAGAAGGGCAAGGCGGAGAGTGAGAGAGTTGTTGTTGTTCTGCGGCGAACCGTCAACCATCGAGCCTGGCAGGATGGCGACATCGAAGAAAAAGGAATGCCCCAGGGGGCACCGCACCCAACACGTACCCATATGTTTTTCTGATCCTTGAGCACGATGGGAGCAGCATGACTCCTGTCGTGATGTTTCGGGGATCCTCTGACCCAGGTCACTCCAGACTAGGGTCAATCAGGCCTTGCAACAAACTGTTAGATCCTGCAAAATCCTGCACCCAAAACCGGGTCAATGCGAAGGATCCTGCAACATCCTGCAGGATCCTGCGCCCGAACCCGGGTCAATGCAACCCTGGTCCTGCAGGATCCTGCAAGATCCGGCGCTCTGGCTGACCCCCGTTTGCATTGATCCCCGACTCAAGGCTCCCGAATGTTTTGCACGACGCGATCACAGATCCGGGTGAGAAGCTGGGCGGGCCTATGTAGGAAGCACCCCGGGCCTTCTCGGAGGCCCCGTCCAGCGCCTTCCGCAGAAGCCGCCGCACCCATCGCGCACAGGGGATACAATTGGAGGCCAGCCCACAAGAGACCCAACCCTGAGACCGCGGGACGTCCCTTGATTTTTCGTGTGGGAACGTCACGCATTCCATAGCAAAACCATCGAAACCTAAGAAACCCAGGGGACCCTGGAGGCAAGCAGGGTGTTGCTTGGCATGGGCCCCCATTGTAGGAACAAGGAAAGGCGACACCAACACCACCAGGGCGAGGAGGTGCGAGGATGCAAGAGGGGTCTCCCTGGCCTGGTGGCGTGGTCCCCCCCCCATCTCGCTCGAGTCATCCCCAGCCTCCAGCTCGGGGAGGCGTCGTGGACCTCCTCGCTGGAGGTGGGCGCCCTGCTGGAATCGGTGCCGCTTCTCCTCTCTCCGAGGGGGGGGGGGCATCGAACTGGAACCGGCGACACTTCGCCGAAAGGTCGCGGAGAGGGGTGGAGCCCCGGTCGGCGACGCTTGGGGGCGATTGGGGCGCGAGCGGCCTTCGCCAGGGAGAGCGAAGCCTAGAACTTAATAGCCGGTATAAATTCATGGTCGAAAAAATGACCCCAGCGTTCCAAAGTATTAATGCCAGAAAAACATGGATAAAGTATGAAGTCAGTGATACGGCGTAGAGATGATTCCTCGGAGGTCCGCGCGGAAATTCCTGGATCGGCGCCGGCGTCGCCGCCAGGGGGGTGACTGCGCCGATCCCAGAAGTCCGCGCGGACCTCCGAGAGATCGCGGTGGCATCTCATGGGAGCCTCCCATACCATCTTGTCGGCTCTTGCGAATCGACGCTAGTCGACGCTAAATCCGCGCTAATCGACGCAAACAAATCGGCGTCTCATCGACTCCCGGACGCCAGTCGACGCGAACCAAGGCTAGAGACGGCATGAAGAGGGCATACCAGGCTCCCATGATGAAGCGAAAGCATGTGAAGGGGCCCAAGAACACAAACATAAATACACACAAATAACAGGACCTCCATATTTCCCCACATTTTCTGGGTTTCGGTGTTCCCCCCCACTTCCCATGTTTTCCCATATTTTCTCGGAGTCGACGATTAATTGTGTCTGTGTGGTTTCCCCTCCTGAGTATGTCTGTGCGGCTGTTTGTTCTTCGCCGCTCGGGCGGGTGGTAGTGGGGCGTAACCTAAAAAAACGGGGGGTGCAGCAACGGGCCTCCAAGAGGGCCCTACAGGGCCCCTTTGGGCCCCCCGCTGGCTCCAACAGGGGCCCCATGAGCGCCCCTTGGGGGCCCTCTTCTTTTGCACCGCTTGAGGAGCATCGCTGGACCGATCCCTAGCCGCACTGGCGTGGCCTGGGCCCAACTGGCCTGTGGGGAAAAAACACACACTGTGGGGAAAACACACACACAAAAAAAAACACTGTGGGGAAACACACACACACACTGTATGTGTTTCCCCACAGTGTGTGTGTGTGGTTTCCCCTACAGTGTATGTTTTTCCCCACAGTGTGTGTGTGTGTGTGTGTGTGTGTCTTCCCCACTGTGTGTGTGTTTGTGTGTGTTTCCCCACAATGTGTGTGTGTTATTTCCCCACAGTGTGTGTGTGTGTGTTTTCCCCACAGTGTGTGTGTGTTTTCCTCACAGTGTGTGTGTGTGTGTGTGTGCTTTTGTGTGTGTTTTTCCCCCCACAGTGTGCTTTGTGTGTGTGTGTGCGTGTGTGTGTGTGTATGTGTGTGTGTTTTCTCCCCACAGACCGACCCCCCCAGATGATCTATGGGCTGCTCCCCTCGGGCTTCCGGGGACCGGACCCCCGACAGAAAGGTGGCGGGACGGTGGGGCTGCGGCGCGATGGTCCGCTGGCAGAGGCCTCCTGGCTGGGGTCTGCACTAGTGGGGTCCGAGGATCGTGCCGCATCGCCGATGCATCGGCGCCGTCGGCGGGGATAGTGGGGTCCGAGGATCGTGCCGCATCGCCGATGCATCGGCGCCCTCGGCGAGGAGGCAGTCGGGCTCCACATCGAGCTGCCTCGGCGATGCCTCGGCGACGTGGCGCGATCCTCCGACACCAACTGCTCGGACCCCGTCTGGGAGGTCTGAGGCTGGAGCTGGGGCTGGGGATCGGTTATACGACATAGTATTAGGTCGGGCCTGTCCCCCTACAGGGGGAATGTGGACGAGAAAAAAACAAATACAAGACAAATACTCCAAAATGATTTTAAACATACTCCAAAAATAGACCCCCGACTATTTTTGGACTATCTTTGGATATTCTCCCTGTAGAGGGGCAGGCCCGACTTCGAGACAGTACTGAGTTTGGGGGGCGCGCGGCCTGCCGAAGTTCCGCGCAGCGACGCCGGGCGGGGAGCCCGCCAGGGTTAAGTTGGGCGTGTCCCCCTACAGGGGGATTTTCATAGAAAAAACAAAAAATACAAAGAAAAAACTGAAAAAAATACACCAAAAATGGTCCCCATATTATTTTTGGATTATTTGTTGATTATATTGCGGGTATTTTTAATTTTTCGTAGACAATCCTCCTTGTAGGGGGACACGCCCGACTGAAGGCCAGGCGGGGCGATCTCCGGGCACCGCCGCGGAAGGCCCTCGGGGAGGCGCAGCTGCCAGAGAGCGCACGCCGAGGCCGGGGAGCCGCCAGAAGCCGACGCTCCAGCGCCCCAGATTTCTGAGTCGGGCGTGTCCCCCCACAGGGGGACTGTCGACGAAAAATAATCAATACTCCAAACATACACCAAAATTTACAAAAAATGCTCCAAAGAGGGTCCCCCGACTATTGTTTGACTATTTCGGGATATTCCCCCTGTAGAGGGTTAGGCCCGACGTACGTCAACGCCCCAAATCCTCGGACTCAGACCATCGCCGGGCCGCGATCCCCCTTCCCATGATAACCCAGGCACGCGACGCTCGGACTTGTGCAGCAGGAGGTCCCTGGGAGGCCCGACCCTCTCGTCCCCGGGGGCCGCTGTTCCATCCTACGTCGTCTGTTGAAGGCTTCGGGGCCCGGCGAGGGCCCCGAGAGGCCGAACACGGGGAAAAACCGCCCGTCTTGATTTTCCCAGGACGCGAGCATGTCTGTGCCTTTCTATAATACCCTATACCCTTCCAGGATTTGTGAACGTACTCCGCATGGACTTCGCATCAAAGGTGAAGTCCATACGAAGAACATCCATACTTGAGCAGGGACCGACCGTCCCGACATTCTTATAGACCCACCACGCCATGTTCTTAGAACCCCGAGGTGCTTGAGAGACAATAACAGCGTTCTAGAACCGGTGTTATGGAACTGTCTTGTTCTTTTTACGCCCAGCAATCCACGAAATGGTCTTAGAACCCCAAAGTCCTCCTCCTCTTCAGGCAATCCTGGACAGGATCCTCCTCAAAGAACCTAATGTCTAAGATTGCCCGGACTCCCCGGCGTGATAAAACAAGACAATCCCATACATAACTGATCTCAAAACTTGTTGTGCAAACCGCACAAAAAATGTTCTTAGAGCATTTTCTGGTGAGCCTGTATAGGCAAACCAAGACGCGTCGCCACTGCATGGCATACGGCGACCGAACACTCCGTACGGACTTCCCCCACGAACAGTCGTCCCGTAGCATAAGCATGCGCAATGAGGATGCAAGGGCCTTGGACGCCCACTTCGAAGTTTTTCAAGCGGAGCGCAGCCAACGAAAGTGGCCGAAGATGGGCCGAGGAGGCAAGGATGCAAGATACCGCTAATCCCTGGACCTGTCCTAGGGTGCGTCCTGACCAGGATTTTGAGGCGAATCCACTGGTGGCGAAGAGGGTCTCCCAGGAAGCCCAAAAACGGGAATACGAGGGAAGGGTAGCGGCTATGGGCGTCTTTTCCGCATCGGCGACTCTCCTCCCTCCTCCTCCTCCTCCTCCTCCTCTTCCTCCTCCTCCTCCTCCTCCTCCTCCTCCTCCTCCTCCTCCTCTTAATCCTCCTCCTCCTCCTCCTCCTCCTCCTCCACCTCCTCTTCGTCCTCCTCCTCCTCCTCCACCTCCGACATCCTTAGTGTGCGGGCTGCTTGCATGGATTTGTTCTCTCCAGGCCCACCTCAGGGAGCCCCCGCGCGGCGGCGCCAGGCGGCACCGGCAGCGCCGCGAAGCGGCCCGCCGCACCGCGCTGGCCGCCCTCCGCGCCGGCCCCGCCGGGCTCGCCGCCCGCGGCGGGCCGCGCCACCGGCGCAGCGGGGTCCACCTCGGGAGGTCGTCGGAAGAACTACTCGGGGGGGGGACACACAAATAAACAGATTCTCCATATTTCCCAATATGTTTTGGGTTTTTTGTCTTCCCATCACTTCCCATATTTTCCTATATTTTCTGGGGGGAGGGGTCGACGATTAATTCTGTCTGTGTGTGTTTTTTCCCTCCTGATCAATGTCACGCCGCCGCAAGGGCACCCAGGGTCCCGACGGCATGTTGCTGTCGATGCGCGTCGTGTTGTACGTTTTGACAAAAGAAAAAAAAATGAGTAACACGCCGTGGGGGCCCTGGGCCCCCCCGCGGCGGCGTGGCATTGATACTCCTCCTTCCCCACGAACGAAGAACAATTAAGCCCCACTGGGGGGTGCTGACAGGAATATCAAAGATCCTGCGTCGCTGTAGGCACAGCAAGCTTGCCAATGCCCTATAGATTGGCCTCGATGTTCCATGATTCAACATCGAGTGACAGCTTAAACCTACTATGTGGTAGTTGCTGCGTAACGGCGGCATAAACCGCCATGGTGTTGCATGGTCATTTTTCACTCCCCAAAACTTCGTGCAGGTGGCACGCGTGCCCGACTCATGCCGACTGGTTTGATAGTTATATATATATATATATATATATATATATAATATATATATATATATAAATGTGTATGTGTGTGCAAATCGATCGCTATAGCTCAGATATTTCAATGGCCCTGGTGCCCACCCATCCCACCCCCAGCGGTAGGTCAACAATTTTTCATTGGACCCCAAAAAATCAATGACTTGTACGTGAGGATCATCTTTAAGAGTTCCGCATCCCAGCGTGCTTCATCAAAGCGCCGCCTCACAAAAGGAAACAACTGTGTGCCGCCTTCTTCGGCGAGCTGCCACCTCGAGGCCGCGCTGGCACCCCAAACGCCATCGACTGGACAAGCGACAAGGAGCGAAAACCGCCTGTCAGCGGCTCAGCACGCTGCGACTATCAACGCTATGGCCCCTGCGTCGTCGATAGCGATGGCGCCGACCACGTACTGCACATGGTACCAGGAAACACCACGGGCCACATTACAACCCAGATCAGAGCCAATCTCTCGCGTGTCCACCAGATGAATGAATCAAAGAAAAGCAACTGATAAAGATGGAGGCTCCTCGTTCTAAACGCAGAACAGTGCACTGCGTTCAAACTTGCCTCCGGATTCGATGTTCCGCGGCGCGGTTGACAGAACAGCCTTTTTGCGCTCTTGGGTGACACAATCGCGCATGCTGCCATTGTTCCCAGGAGTACCGGCGACGCGCAATGCTCGCCGGCGTTTCGGCCTGAGCTTGCCAGCCCCATGCGCAGCTTGACAAAGGAGCATTTGTTTGCCGGCAAATCGGCCGATCTCGACAAGATCGGACCCGTCTTTGCCGCCTGCCTTGCGTTGCGTCGTCAAAGCAAGAAGATCGTGAACCGCGCGAAACGAAGACGCCTGCATATTCGGGGATGGACCCGGCGCAGGGGTGCTGCCAAATAAATACAGAATCAAGGGCGCGGCGCTCGACGTCTAACCCGCGCGGCACTTGAGCGCGCCATCGCCGCCGCGGGGCGCCGTCAGATGGCGCGCGTCGAACGGGCGAGAGAAATCGACGGGAGAGAACTGCCCCGGGACTTTCCAGTTGGCCGTTGAAGCGGCGCGCATATTCGCATAAGAGCAGGCGAATTCGCAATGATCGCTAAAACCCAAACACCTCAAACTGAACGACGCTTTTTTTTTACCGACACGCGCATGGGGTCACATCTTTCCTGGTCGGCAGGGCGCGCGCACCGAAGAAGGGCGGCGCTGCCCAGCGCGCCTCTCCACCCAGCCGGCGTTGCCATCTTTCTGGGGCGCAGCCTCGCCAGTCGTAGGTTTGGCCGCTGCATGCGCGTCGACCCCCCCCCGCGCGCGCTCGCTCGTTGCCGAAAAAAAACGAGAATGGTCCGCGCGAGAAATATCCGCTTGGACGCCGGCCGGGCCATGCGGGGTGACGTCCGCGCCGAACGCGACGCAACGTTGAGACTGCCCAAGCTTCATTTGCTTCGGCGCTGGCGAATCGCCGATTGTGGCATGCATCTCACAGAACAGCACCCTCAGCGCGCAGCTTGTTAATTGCAGAGCGATGCCAGCAGCGCGGATGCTCAGGAGGCCCAGAAACATCCGCCCCAACAACTTCGCAGCAATCGTCGACCAACCGCCCGCCGCATCTCATCCGACTGGAAAACGAAGGAACCCATCGGGATCCGCGCCTCCCCGTGGAAACGAAGAAAGCTTGGCAATGCGAGGACATTCGCACTAACGTTGCGTCTTCCAAAGAGTTATTGATATCTATGGCGGCGCCAGGAACCAGTTCGTCGCAGAGCAATGCCCAACGCCAAGGGTTCTCGTAGCCGTTGCCGCATTGCCCCAGGGCTTGCAACGAACGGGGCAAAAGCATTCGGCTGCAAATCTTGCGCGAAGATCATGCCGCAACGTGCAACCCCCCACACTTATCCGCGTGGGGATTTCGTTTATTGCGTCGCGCGTGGGACGCTCAATATGCAACCTCAGAAGGCCATCTTCTTCCCCCGCCGCAATCTCGATCGAAGAGACGTCGAGGGCATCCGCGGCCCCGCCGGGATCGGTGGCCAAGCGCTTCTCGACGCGACGAAAGGCTCTTATGTGGGGCGCCGCTCTCGCGCGCAGCTAACATGTCTCTCTCCTCGGCGTCGCCCGGCATCCGGCGACCCCGAACCGAAGCCCCGCGGCGCGCTAGCCCCGCAAAAATGCCGGCGCCGACGCGAAGGTGCGGGCGCGAGAAAGAAGTGAGCGATGGGGCGGGGATGATTAAGGCGGCGCGGGCCCGCGGCGCGAGGCCCCGAGGTGCGCCTTAGCAACGCGCGCGGCTCGTGTAGCGGTCACCTGACGACCGCTCGGAAGAATGGGGGCTTGGCGGGAGAGGGGGGGGGCGGCGCGGCAATGGCCGGGGGGCGGGAAGGCAATGGGAGACTGGGCGGGGGGAGGACGAACAATGGGGGCCGAGGAATCGGATTGAGGGGGGCAGCGCGCGCAGCATGCCCGCGATGCATGCGCGGGGCGCACTGTCAAAGAGCCCCCACCAGGGCCCGCCGACGCATCGCCTTGGACGCGCGATAAACAGGACTGTAGGTTTCCCAATCGGAATCGCACGGCTTTGTAAATAGCCCCCCATGCTGCGGCCCTCAAGAGCGAGGCCGGGCCCGCCCCCCCCGTGGCCCGAGCTGCGCGCGACCCCGCAGGCTGGCGCCAGCCCACGTTCGGGAAAAGGGGGGCAGCTTTACGCCAGCTCTGAAACGCGCATGAAATCGCCACGCTGGCCGCCGCCAACAACTGGGCGGCCCCGACCCGCCGCGAGACTTTCGAGGCGGGTGACCCGCGAAGTCGGCGCCCCAAGCTTCGCGCGACTCGCTCGCGAGGTTACCCGCTGCCTTCTTCGCCGGCACGTTGATCTCCTCATATGGGCTCTCTCCGCAGCGCCCTTCGCGACGCCCAGGACTTGATTTAGATGCGGGCCCGCGATGTCGCGGCGCAGCGACGCTAGCGCCGCTCTAGTTTTCTGAATCGTCGCTTTCGCGCAGGAGCGGCTGATCATTGCGGCCGAGTCTCTGCTGCTCCTCGACCTTTTTCAGCTTTGGCGCGTTCCTTCTCCTTCTGATTTGCCTTCTTGACTGCCTTCCCCTGGCGCTCGGCCGTCTTCTCGGCGCTCGGGCTCGACGAGCTCGGAGCGCATTGTTCATTGCCCTGCTTGGCCTTCTGGCTTTTCTCCTCGGCACACCCCCTCTGCTCCTCAATCCCCTCGCCTGCGCCCGGGTCGACGCCGGCGGGGGTCGGGCTTGTCGCGAGATGGTCGCGCGGAGCTAGCGCCCTTGGCCTCGGCGGCGCCGGCTCCCTGCCGTAGAAGTTACGCGCGCGGCCTCGGTGATATTGCCCTCGGCCCGGCTGTGCGCGGCGATATTGCAGATCCAGCCAAGCCGGCTGCGCCGCTCTCCCGCGCTGCTCGGGGCGCTTTTCTTGACCGGCTCCGCATCGCACCCCGGCCCCTCCCAGCGCGTCGGGGGCCGGGGGCCTCCGGGGCGGGGCGCCCTGGTCGACAGGAGTCTCGCGTTCGCCCAGTCGCGGCACCACGATGTCGCGATATCGCGATATAGCGGGGGGGGGGGGCCCGACGTCGCGACGCCGCGATGTCCTGATATCGCGACGCAGCGGGGGGGGGCGCGATATCGCGACGACGACGTCGACGTGGCGAGGGGGGCGCGAAATCACGACGTCGCGCCATCTTGATATAGCGGGGGGGGGGCATGGCATTGCGACATAACGGCGGGGGGGGGCATCGACCGCGATTTCTCGACACGCCAAAACGACCCGACGAGCCCGAGGAAGGAGGAGGAGGAGGGGGGGAGGGAGGAGGAGGAGGAGGAGGAGGAGGAGAACTTCTCGCCCCTACCCAGGCCTCCGCCTGCTCTGCGGGCAGGGGCCGCCGGCGCTTCCCCGACGGGCCAGGCGGGGCCCCTGGCCCCGAAGTCCGGGGCCCCCTTCCCAGGCGAACGGTCTGGAACGTCGCGGCGAGAAATGAAAGAAAGAACGCCGGGGTGCGCGGCGCGGGAGGGCCCCCCCCCGACCCCGCCCGGGCGCCCGGCCCCCGCCCCCCCCCCCCCCCCCCAGACCCATCCCAGAGGCGCGGGGGGGTGCGTTTGGAGAGGAGAGGGAGAGGAAGGGCGGGGAGGCATGCGTTTGGACAGGGGCGCACGTGGAGCGGGAGGGATGGGGGGGGGAGGGGTTGGGGCAGGGAATGATTGGGAGAAGGAATAATTGGGACATGGGGGAGAGAAGGGTCGGGGGGGGGGAGAGGGAGCACGCGGACAGGGATGCGCGTCGAGAGGGGCGGGGTAGAGGATGGGATAGGGGGGGGCGAATTGGAAGAGGGGGGAAATGGGGGCGGAAGGGTTCGGAGGGCGAGGGGGCGGGAGGGGGG